CTTAGTAAGCGTTGTGCTACTGTATTCAAGAGGCCGTTCGTGTTTGGCCACTGCTGGCTGTGAAGCGCTACGCATATCTAGTGGAATATCGGATCAACAATGCTGAGATACATCGGGCCGCTCTCAGGGAAAAGGCTCTATTCCATCGGCCATTTGGCAATGGAAACGGTCTGGGGACAGTTGGTCCATTACTTGACAGCCAAGCATGAAAAAAACCCACCAGTCAACTCACTCGCGTTGGTCGTTATGGTATCGTAAGATGGGGACTCTGACGAGACAACAGTGGTTGGTATCTGCCTTGATAGACGGACGGTCCTGTACTACAACTGTCGTCTTTAGCGCATAACTCTCCTATTACACGCTTTATCATACAAACAAGGTCAATGAATTTATTGAGCCATGATCTATCACTTCCTCATTCTCTGTGCCGGTGGAGTAAACCTTAGCGTACGGAACCATCTCACACTGTTATCGGGTTTCTAGCTGAATAACTGACTGATTCCACAGATAAGCGGGGTTTCTCATATATTGGGTCTCGTCTTCCGTGCACTACTATATGTTCTCTTGCTGTTCTTTTGTTCATTTCAGGCGGTTTATGCCGGTCGTAATAAAATTTCTTTACGGTATTCCGGTTATCGGATGGATCCTTTGGCTCCCAGGAGTTAATCGGGTTAGTGCTGTTTCGTGGTTTTCATGATACCTTTCGTACTCTACCGTGTGCTTTATGCGGGATGTCAGCTACGCACAAGGACAGAACTCAGCCGATTCTTCTCATGAAAATGAACGCTAACCCTTTTTATTCACTTTTGACTAACCTGGTTAAATTTCAGAAAAATGGGACTGCATGGATCTTCAGATGGAAAGTAGGTAGCTACGAACCGCAGCTTGGCTCCGATATCCACAATGAAACAAAGATAAACAAAATTAAGATGAGACGCTTGTACCTTAGGTGGATTGCAGGGTAGTGGAGTAATTTATCCCCTTGAGGCTACAGAGTGGAGTAGCTTGTTCGACACTGTCACTAGTAATAGTACCCAGCCTCGTGTAATCCGGGGCTATCATTTAACTGTGGGATACAAAACTGGAGCCACGACGAGTGTGTTGAGTGTACACAGGTGTCTAGATATGGCAGTCGACTAAAGGCATACCCTCTAAAATTAACAACGGGGCTTTCCAGTTCTGGGATATTTGCATTCAGTAGCCAAGAGCACCATTCGAGAAACACTTTTCCCAAACTTCCGTCAATTCTGGTACACACTTGAGTGTGTTCTGGTGAGGACTTGAATCTCTGCTTGACAGTGCTGGCCTGTTTTAAGCCTGACTGGTCATGTTTTTGCACTATATTGCTTTCAGCCACGTCACCGTTAGCATACGTGGGCTGTTCAAGGAGAACGGATTCAGTTGACGTTAATTTTCAGATATTTTTTACTTTGAGTAGCCCATTTTTCCACACTCTCCGGCTGACCATCAGACTAGTCTTCTGTAAATATGTGCGTTTGGAAGACAAACTAAATCTTACTATCTGGAATGCATCGATCGAATAAGCAACTTTAAAGTCTACTTGACGTATCTGTGACTCATACACTTTACCAGTCTAATTCATGTGTATCCAAAGGTAACAGTATTCCCCGTTCGCTTGTGTGCCGATCTGTTGATAGGTTGCCATTATTTCGTTCATTTGTCTGGCTTTACTGTTGTTCGCAGACCGTTTAAAACCATGCCAATAGCTAAGCCGTCCACTTTTTCCGTAATGGCGCGCCTTACGTTCCATGCGTCGTGTGAGAACCGCACTCTGTCGGTAGATGCGTAAGTGCTAAGTTTGCTGCCTTGTCACACAAACAACAGAACTTACTTATCTCGTTCCTGGCGTACATACGTAGCTGGATTTGGAATTGGCTTCGTGCCTTCTCTGAAACGACTCGGTTTTCATGGTAAAGGTGTGGACAGACCCTGGGATGCCGCTCCTCATTTGTATGAAGGGATCGGCCATATGACTGGCTATCAATCAGAAGCTGTTGACTTCAGAGCTGCGCGTCCGCCATCACCGGGCTAATAAGCTATGTACAATTGAACCATCATTTTTTTCAAAATGAGGGGTACTGCACCAGTACACGGAGAAATCACTAGCCCTACATTTACTCCAGATACTGAGTTCCCCTGGGTTCGAGTTTCTTTTTAAATGTTTGTATTGCTAATCCCGATGCTTTCTTTGAAAATATATGCTTGTTGTTAGAGTAAGTCAGGTAGGTCTTTCTAGCATGCTATTTCCTAAATTGTTGATGAAAAATAACTAACTGTACTGGCTTTAGCTTCAGCAACGTTTACTGTTACCCCACAAACTCCGAATGCTTTCTGTCTTCACCGTCGTTTTAGATTCGACTGGACTCTGAAACCGCTGAGGTACAAATTGGTAGTTGTATCGGTTGGAACTTAGATGTCCTCGCAGGAGGTCAGCCTGCAGTTACGCGTACCTGTGGGAAAATATGATGGGAAACTTTGTTCTATATCGTGATGCTTGACGGTTCTGTTAAGTAGTTCAACTTCTTCACGCTAAGTCATTGTTGGATAGGCTCATATATTATAACTCATATTATATAT